TCTGATTTAATTGGACTAAAGTGCAGTGTAGGCATTGAATTTTTAAACTCCCCATGTGATTTTAAAGTGCAGCAAAGTTTGAGACACCCCCCCCTCAATAGTCCAGAGTGGTAGTTCTCAGAGTGGGAGGGGCGGTTTTGTAGCCCAAGGGGCATCTGGCAATGTGCAAAGACATTTTTGGTTGTTGCAACCAGGAACTCTTCTTGGCATCCGCTGGGTCCCAGCCAGCAATGCTGCTAAACATCCCTCAATGCACAGGGCAGCCCCCAGAGCAAAGAGTGACCCTCCCCAAACGCTGATCAGCTCAAGGCTGAGAAACTGGCCTAGAGAGACCCAGCCACATGCGCCCCAGGACCGGGAGCCGTGTCTAAGGATGTTCATAGTAGCTTTGTAACAACACAAACAAATGAACCCAGACTTAACCCAAATGAAGATATAAATCTACAGCAGCACATGCATGACACAGACAATGTCAGTGAGAGAGCGTTGGGACAAAGGGGATAAACACACCAGGGCTGGGAGAACAGGGGCCTCCCTGGGCAGGGAAGGGGTCTCCTGGGATTGCAGCTGCATTCCCAGTTAGCCCCATGAGGTTAGGAGTCTCTTTTCTTCCTAAGATGCTCAGCTAGTTTGACATTTCGTGGGAAATTTTATCCTTATTTGGTCTTTTTAAGTAATTTGGACAATTCAAGCAGAGGGGAAAAAATCAATATGCATGAAAGTATTTCCTACAGTGTGGCATATATATATATATATATATATATATAAAATAAAAAATAATTAGAAATTATGTAAATATCCAGAAATGGCAAAGTGATTAAGACGATTATGGTACATCAACTCAATTGAATGTTATGCAGCCATTAAAAAGGATAATTATGAAGGTGATTTAGAAACATGGGAAATGTTTGTGATACGGCGGGAAGTGAAAAGAACAGAAAATAAACAGCACAAGCACAGTGATTACAACTCTGAAAAATATGTTGGCCTGTGGACAAGTACTGGAAGGATTTGCAGAAATAAAAGCTGCACTGATTAAAATGCTAGGATTGTGGGCAATTTATTTTTTCTTTTTTCCAAGATTTTCTTTAATGCTGTTTTTCTTAAATACTTAAAGCAGACATCTTTTTGGGACAACTGCCCAGCCCACACGCCTCTCGTCTCAGCACTGTGTCCCTGCCCTAAAGGGTAAAGCCCCAGCAACCCCACTGGCTGGCTGTGACCCTGTATCCCGGGGTGGTACTTGGACATCTGATCCAGCACCCACAGATCACTGGGTGCCCTGTTCATCCCCCCTAAAAGCAAGAAAGCCCTGGCCCTCAGAGCCCACTTGCAAGACAGAGAATCTTGTCCGCCATGTGTTCTCAGAGGGCTCTTCCGTGCTCTGCGATCACCCTTTGTGCCTAGAGGAAGCTTCTCTTTCTCAAAAGAGCACAGTGGGCTCCCAGGCTGGTATTTCTTTCGAATTCCATTAGATCTGCCCTCCAGACCTTCAGACACCCTCCAGTCTCTCACAGCCCAGGCCAGAAATCTCCAGCAGGGAGAGATTGTCGGAAAGGGGTGTGTGTGCGGGGACATAGGCCAACTGTGATTCCAACTGCCATCAACGCCCACACCACCCACCTCCGCTCCCTCCTCCCAGTCCTGTGCCAGGCCTCCCTCAGTTTTGAAAGTCTTTCTCAAAACTGGTCTCACCATCTAAAAATGTGGGAGCCCCAAGTCTAGGGAGTAAGGGACACGAGGCAGAAAGACCATAGAAGATGCTAGAGAGGGGAGAGGGGAGCAGGAGCCACTGTTGCCAGGCTCTGTATGTTATGCTAAAGCATTTGTTTGTTAAGCAAATGAATGCCACGTTTCAATGGAGAGTCTGGAAAGGTCACTCAGCAGGTGATACAGAGCAGAGCATGGATTGGACGGAGCAAGCCTGGAGGCAAAGAAATGACTGCAGTGGTCCTGGTGAGAAGTGACAGGGCTAAAAGGACAGGGGCCGGCAAGTAAGGTTCCATCCAGGAGTCCTTTTAAAGTAGAAATGGATAAAACTTGGGTGTTAAAATGAAGGGCAGGGCAGAGGTTATAAAAACCCTCCTTTAGAGCTTGGAAAAATGGATGGGTCTGTTTTTTCTTTTTTTGATCCCAGAACTATTTCTGGTCTCAGCTTAAATGTTATGTCCTCAGAGAGGCCTGACCACCCTGACCATCCTGACCACCTCCCGATCCACAGCAGGAGCCCAGCCCTGCTCTGCCATTTTATGCCACCGTTTGCTTCCTTTACAGCACGTATCACAATTTGTAGTTAGTTAATTATCTTCATCCTTCACTGGGCTGTAAACACCATGAAGGCAGAGTCCAGTCCATTTTTATTCCCAAGTCTAGTACAGGACCTGGCACATACCAGGTGGTTAAGAAACATTCTTTTGAATGAATGAATGAATGAATGAACGGAGACCAAGGAAGGAGGGACAGGCTGGGGAGCAAGATGCTTGGGAGGGCCCTCCAGCAGGCAGTGAGAAGTCAGGAGGGCTGGGGCTCTGGGAGTCCCCTGTGTAAGAGGACCCTGACAATGACTGAAGAGTGCCTAGTGTAAACTAAAAATGAAGTCTGGGGCCCCGCCAACCGACTGAACCCCCTCTTGGACAGAGAAACCCTAAAAACAGGGTTCCCAGCTATGAGCAGATGGGAGATCAGACTCTCCTCATTACACCCCCTCCCTTTCGCACTTTAGACGGGACAACTGACCAGAATGAATGTTAAAATAGAGATCACAGGACTGACAGAATGGACTCTGTGGCAATAAGACATGAAATTATAAACAGCACCTAAGGCCACGCCCGGCAAGGCCAGCACCTAAGTCACGCACCCCTACACTTGAAGAATAAACTATGTTCTAACTGCCACGAGGCTTTCTTTTCTTTCTAGCGGCTAAACGAGCTCTGGCCTTGGGAGAAGCAATGTTAAAACAACTGTAGCTTCACCAGGCGCTGCCCCCTACTCCCCTGCTCCACAAGACACAGCCACGGCTTTGATTGGACCGGAGACTGATTCCGGTAAGTTTCCCCTAACGAGATGACCACCAGCCGTGGGACTGGTTGTGTGTGCAGTGGAGTCCTGAAAAGACCTTTCGAAGTGTGGGGCCTCCTTGTAATACATTTAAATGTTAAGTGTCCACCCCATGGTGAACACGTGTCGTATGTAACAGGCATGTTTATTCAGTATGCATGCATGAGGGCCGCCTTCATGAATACTCATAGCTCCTCCTGCAGTCTGTTCAGTAGGTAGACTTGGCCAGCCCTTTTAGCTTAAGTCCCTGTCTTACCCTTCCCTGCCTGGAAGTGCCTGTTTCCTCGGCTTCTGCGCTCCCCAGCCTGTCGGAACGGCCACCTTGCAGGCTGTAACCCTTTATAAGAAAGAAAGGTCTCCAAGTTTATAAATCCTGTGATGTTTATTATGAACCTGACATTTATTTATTTATTATGACCCTGCCAATGTGGACACAATCGTGCGGTTTTTAACACTGGGCAGGGGTCAAACAAAAGCGTGCCAGAGGGTGGCTACAAACCCTTCTACCGCCGCAGAGTCCGAGGCTGCCAGGTGAGACGCACAGGTGTGAGAATCCCGGGGATTCTGATGCTCAGAGCGTAGAAATGCGCACGCGCGACGGTTCCCAGGTGACTTGGATGCACCTGGAGGTTGCCGGGGGAACAGGGTAGGGGCTGAGACAGCGGGGGCCTCCAGATAGCCAGGTGTTAGGACACGACGCGGCGGGAGGAGGCGCCCGCGGCCGCCCAGCAGCCCGGCGACCGGCCAGGACCTTTGGCCACACTTGGCCCCAGGCCGCACTCGCCGCCCCGCCCCGCCCCCGCCGCTCCGCCCTCCGATTGGCCGCCGCCCTGCCCGTCCCCCGGCCTCGGCCAATGGGGCCGGCGCGCGCCGGAAGCCGGAAGCCGGAAGCGCGGCGGCGCCGGCTGCGCGCGCGGGCGCGCCCCCAGCAGCTGTCGCTCGGCGCCATGCGGCCTCGGGCCAGGCGGGACGGCGCGGTGCCTGCGCCTGCTGCGCCTCTGCCCGGCCGCCCGGCCCGGCTGTCGAGCGGGCCGGCGGCGGCGGCGCCCGGCGCCCTGGAGCGGGCCATGGACGAGCTGCTGCGCCGCGCCGTGCCGCCCACGCCGGCCTACGAGCTGCGCGAGAAGACGCCGGCGCCGGCCGAGGGCCAGTGCGCGGACTTCGTGAGCTTCTACGGCGGCCTGGCCGAGGCGGCCGAGCGCGCCGAGCTGCTGGGCCGCCTGGCGCGGGGCTTCGGCGTGGACCACGGCCAGGTGGCCGAGCAGAGCGCCAGCGTGCTCCAGCTGCGCCAGCAGCAGCGGGAGGCGGCCGTGCTGCTGCAGGCCGAGGACCGGCTGCGCTACGCGCTCGTGCCGCGCTACCGCGGCCTCTTCCACCACGTCAGCAAGCTGGACGGCGGCGTGCGCTTCCTCGTGCGCCTGCGGGCCGACCTGCTGGAGGCGCAGGCCCTCAGGCTGGTGGAGGGGCCGGACGTCCGGGTAAGGCCCCGCCCGGGCCACCCTTGACCCCCAGGTAGCGGGCACTCGGCAGCGCGGCCTCCTCCGCGCAGTCCTCACCCACCCCCCAGCCTCCACCTTCCCTGCCTCCCCTCCTTCCCGTGCTTTCTGAGGCCTGGTCGCCGCAGAGCGCACCCCTGTCTCCCCCCAGTCGCGCCTTGCAAGCCCTCACTCACACACTGCTTGCTGGACTCCCGGCGCTTGTCCACCTTTGAGGTGACTGTCATGCCTTGTATCTGATTAGCGCGTTCTCTGAAGTCGTCTTTATCACTTCAGCTGAGAGGTGTTTGTTTCGTCTCCGTGGTATACCCGAACTGGAGTACCGCCAGCCTTCTGAAAACCCAGATGGTGTCAGCAAAAGTTAATTGGGGCACCCACTGTTTGTGAGACATCGTCCCAGGAAGTCCTGTGGAATGCAGGAAGATGACGAGGACTCAAGGTCACCACTGCCTGAGTCTGGGTGCCTTCTGTCCTCTCTGCCGCATACCTTTGGACAGGGCGCTTAACTCCCCGAGTTCAGCCGGAGTGCGATGATTCTGAGCTGACATCTTGAGGTAGTCAGGTGTTAGCACAGTGCGTTCGTTTCAGATGCGGATAAATATTTTGAGGTTTAAGAAAGTATGACCTGAAAAATTGCCTAGAGTTGCATAGAGCCCTTTTATACTATTAGTATTGAATATGGCAGGAACACGAACCTGCCCTTTTAGTGAATGAAAAATGATGTAAATGTTTCAGAGAGTTTCTGACGTTCGGAACTTTGTTATGTGCAGTTGACTTTAAAGAAATCGAACAGTTGAATGGTTATGTCCTAACTCACTTAAGAACTCTCTAACAATGGCAGAATAGTTTTCACCTTCACTCCATCGGTCTTAGGTGGGTGATAATTTATATTCCCTTTTACAGTAAAGTAGATAGACACTGAGGTTGTGTGACTTTTCTAAGAACTCAGAGCAAATAGATATGTCTGTGATCACCCACCGAAATCCTGGGTTCTTTGCACTACACTTTATATCACCATCATGCTATGTGAGATAACCAGAAACAGTTTATCAGGAACTTACCTATTTTTGGCAATTTATCCTTGGATGCATAAAAATTAGGTGTGAATAAGAAGTCATCATGATAGCAATTTACAATGCTAAGTGTAACCCAGGGCCAGGAGCCTTTAGCCATAAGATTCCTAAACTGAGAACCCACAGTTTACTGCATGACACGAGATCAGTCATGGATTCTCATTGTGTTGTATTATCATTTCTGGGCTAAGCCCCAATCTCAATGGCTGAGCTTTAGTGTTTGTTCCATACACTGCAGACATAGTGGTTGAAATGTATTGTCCCCCCCCAATCAGACGATCAACCCCTTGAAAGCTGAGAACCTTGTCTTAAATTTCTTGCATAGCACGATGATAAATGAATCATTGAGACAGACTCCTGGGAGCGACGGTGTGCAATACACTTGGCACTGGTCACTCGGGATCTATCTTGGGGTCAGACTCCCTCACTGATTTCTAACATCCCATCCGGTTCTGGACCCTCTGATCCTGTGAGGTGTGTGGAATACACCCCTCTCCTCTTCCTTGTGTGGCTAAACTTGCTTACTGTGTAGAAGGGAAGGAACAGCGCAGCAACTGAGCACTGTCACATGGAGACTTGACTTGTTGACCGGCAGCAGCTGGCTCCTGGGAAAACCTGTTGGCAGTGCTGTGTCCTCAGATGTTCACAGGTTTCCTTGTTTTTTTTTAACCAACTGTCCCTACACGTAAGGGAAAAAAACACCACATACTGTCAGGCCTAAAGTCGTGTGGAATAGAGATATTTATTGAAATGAGAATGAATAACAGCAGCCAGACCTTTGCCCCTCCACATAGTTTGGACGTATCAGCCACAGAACCCTTTTCTAGTTGCTCTATTCCCCCCTTTTCTGTTTCTCTACCCAGAAATCCCAACTTTATATGCAGTGCATGTAACTGTTAGTATCTCAGTCTGTTAATTCCCTTTCCCTTGGCTCTACGTAATTATATAAAGTTTTTAAAAATTCCTATCATTCTGAGAATAGAGGGCTTTCTTCCTATACGTAGAAATTACTAATTGGGATCTGTTATTGTGCTCTATCACCAGAATCACTTAACGTGTACAGTCTGTTTTTAGAAATAGATTTTATTTTTGAGAGCAGTTTTAGGTTCACAGCAAAACTGAGCAGAGGGTACCCCGAGACTTCCCGTGTGCCCCCTGCCCGCGCGCCTCCCCTACCTCGTCCCCCACTGGAACGGGACATTTGTTACCTTCCACGACCCTGTATGAACTCATTGTCACCCTGCGTCCATGGTTTACAGTAGAGTCCACTCTTGGTGGTGAACGTTCTGCGGGTTTGGTGTACAGTCCGTTTTGATTCTGTTCCTTTTATTTCATTCTGGATTTTGCATCCACATTAGAGAACTTGACTAGAGTAGGCATGCGGTGTTAGAAACCACCAGAAACTCAACACGTGAAGCTTTTAGTGCCTGGTTCTCAGATCCCAAAGGGCTTTCTTGAGTGCTGAGTGCTCTCGGGGGAGTGGCACGCTCGCTCCTGGACTGCCGCCAGCCCCAGCACTGCTGGCTGTGTGCACACTGCCCCGTCACACACGGATGCACCTTGCCTGGCCCCTTTTGACTTCTGGACTTGCGAGATAATAAAGTCAAGGGAAGTGTACTCGAAGGTGAAGGTGCACTGGCTCATGGGAGTGCTTCCCTGGATGCATTCAGTCCACTGCATGGCCCATTCCAGGTTCTTCCTTTAATGGAATTCTGTAGTTACAAAGGCACTTTTAGAGTGAGTGGCAAATGAGAGGTCACAGATTGATGCTGATTCCATATGTATCTTATAGGACGGTGGATATAGTGGAACTGAACAGGGAGGGGAGCCAGTTTCTAGTCCCATCTTTGCCATCTCAGAGAAGTGATTTTAGGTGGCTTTAGCCTTATCACTGAACCCCCCTGGGGCCTTTTGGCTCAGCATTGAGATGAGACACTCAGTTGATTGTCAGTAGGCCCAGCCAGTCTGCTGCTAGTCCAGGGAATGCCCTGGGGGTACATCGGAGCTTTGCTAAGAATATGGTGTGCACATGGGGCCATAGTTTGTCAAGACCTTGGTGTCCTGCCAAGGGTGTGATTATTGGAAATACAAGAATCCAGAAGACTGGCATTGCTGTTGTGAGTGTGGCCCCAGCACGAGGACCGAGGGAAGGCGTGTGGCCAGGCTGGGGCGTATTTCTTTCTTTGGATATTTTCAGTCGGATAAGGTTTCTTTCCTTTCCCTTGGGGATTCTTAATCCTTTTTGATAGGAAATGCAGGGGCAGTGTCAAGTGTTTTTTGCTAGGAAGATACAAGTGCTGAGTTGAAAGTTTTTACAATGTTGCAAAGGTCAAGTACTTGTGTATTTCAAGATAGCAAATCCAGTGCGCACAGAAGGTGGGTATTACCCACCATTAATTACAAGGTGTTAGAAGTCAGTGTGTCAGATTTGTATCAAATCTCCGTGCTGTATTCTTCTGATGTAGATTTCTAGACCTCCTTAGATTACAAGTGAATTGATTTTAATGGATTTACTCCAAGAAAGGAATTGTAGTTGTTTTAATAATTAAGGAATTTTTTAAAAAAGATATTTGTCAATATCCTTGACTACTGTGATCACAAAACCTGCAATTTGAACCTGTAGAAAATGGAACCATAAATGAATTATTTAGTGTGGGGAGTGACATAAAAATCCATAAGGCAGCTTAATCACACCAGGAAAAGAAATACTCCTTTTGGTCACAAAATTAAAAGTGCTCTTTGTTTATAAAATGCTCTTTTCCTCTGTTGAAGTTTTTAAGTGAGTTTAGAGGCTTGTTGCCGTGCCTGGATCGGGGTCCTTTAGGGTGGAAATAAGTCCAGTTTTGCCATCTGCCGACGCCTGCTGAGTGTGGCGCCCTCTCGGTTTGCGGTGTGAGTGTGTCCGGTTCTGCGTGACCAGCGCCCGCCCCTGGCTGCGCGTGTCCCAGCGGGATGGGGGCGCGGCGGCTGGGTCAGCGTGGGTGGGTGTGGTTTATAGGCTTTCGGTTTTCTCCAGAGACATTTCCAGGTGCCCATTTGGTTGATAACTTAAGTTTCTTAGAGGTAAAATCCCATCAAAACCAAGTTGAACCGCCAGTAGAGGCGAAGGTGTGAGCACTTCATTCATGGACTGGTGTCAAATTAAAAAGACAAAAAAAAAAAATTACAGGACTGGTGATCGGGAAGTAACAGGAAGGGAGGATGAAAGATCGTTTGCCAGGCACTGTGAACGGCTCTTTATTAAACTGTGATTTCTTGCATTTGACTACAATGGTTCTTAATCTTCCTGGGTTCCTCTCGTACTCCTGAGTAAGTGTTAAAAACCACAGACCCTGTCCTCAGAAAAATGCACACACATTAGTGAAAGTGTGCATACAGTTTTCTGGGGATCAGAAAATGTGGCGTGGGCACTCGAGGGATGGTGCCCATTACGGTGCGGGAAGGTCTTCTGATGGGTGGTTTGAACATACAAGGCGTGGCAAAATGAGAGGTGCTCGGGCCTTCCCAGAGTTCGGGAACTAGAAAAGGAACATGGTGAACGTCCCCACCGCCACAGGTACCCGGCCACACTAGGCACTGCTGTGCGGCCTTTTTGGGTGGGCTTCTTTGCCTCTTAGTCAATATAGCACTCCTCGTTGGTTCTAGTAAATTCTGCGCTTAACTGCGCTAAACGAGAACTTATTTTTAGACGGGGAGGCGTACTCCGGTACGTGCAGGTATACACCTGGGGAGTGGCCGCTCGTGTCACGTGGAATTGTTCCCCAAGTTTCTCAGCCTCTGCCGAGTCATCCTCACCAACGGCCGTGAGCTCTCCTCCCCAGCGTAGGGCTTCTGAGCGAGGAAAAGTAACTTTTCTCTTCACCTTCTAAAAATAGGCAGATGTGATCACGTCGGCTGGCCTAAACACAGTGCCGTGCGGGACAACTGGAGTGAGCGGCACAGAGCACGCCGAGACCTGACCCGGACTGCAGCATCACCAGAATATTCCCAGCAGTTGTATTTTTCAGTCTTGCACTTTTGAGAACTGGTAGCTGAATTAATGAATATAAAGCAGGAGCGATTTCTCTCCCCCGGTGTTACTTGCGTCCCAGCCACCCCGCCCGGACAGCTGCCGCCGGCGTTGGAACTTCTAACCTTTAGCCCAGATTCCCAGTCCTCGCGTCCAGCGTCACATTGTATAGCTGTCAGGAGCCCAAAATAGAGCGAAGAGACTTGCAGAGGGCGAGCTTTCGGCAGCCAAACCCTTTCTCTCATAATGAACACTGGATTAATGCTGAAACCAGGTATTTCCGGCTGCTTCCTATCACGAATGTAACAGAGATGCCGGCACCTTACACAGAGCTCAGTCCACCTCTTGACCCTTCAGTGCAGAAGCTCCTAACCTGGGGTCCCCAGACCCCCCGGGTGGGTCACTAGATAAAGTATCCAAGGTGTCCGTGATCCCCAGAAAACGGTATGCACAGTTTCACCGATGTGTGTGCATTCTTCTGGGGACAGGGTCTGTGGTTTTTAGCACACAGCCAGGAGTGCGAGAGGAACCCAGGAAGATTAAGAGCCATTGTAGTCAAATGCAAGAAAATACAGTTTAATAAAGAGCCGTTCACGTTGCCCAGCAAATGGGCTCTCATCCTCCCTTCGTGTTACTTCCCAATCACCATTCTTTTAATTATTTTTTTCTTTTTCATTTGATAACCCATCCATTAGTGACTGTTTTGGAAGTTGTAGAAACGAATCAGAAATGGACTCTGCCCATATAGAGTGTACGGCTGAGTAAAGGAGATGAGATTACAGAGTTTAGAGTTAAAAGGAATTGCAAAGATCATCTGGTCCAGCCTCCTCTCGGGTGCTTAAGTCCTTTTCAAAACAGCTCATCCAAGTTCCCGTCGGCCCTGTAGTTGGTCACTTTCAGTGGTAAGATTCACTGTCTCAGCATGACATCCCTGGACAGCCCTAGTTATTCACAAATTCTTTACATTAATTTCAGCCCAAGCCTGATTGTCCATAATTTCTACCAGTTGGGCCTAGATTTGCCCTACCCTGCCCCACAGGGTCACACAGGGCAAATCTGTGGCCTCTTCAGCGCCTAGTGCTTAAATGTGCAAAGATAGATGATCTCACATCCTTCTGGAAACTTCCCTGAGCCGCCAACCCCATACCTGTAACTTTTCTTCAGGTCACTAAGTTCTGAGTCCTTTCACCTTTTAACAGGAATTAAAATGTGAAATGGTCCTATAAAAATTTTACAGCTGTTGTAAAACTGCTTTTTATAGGTGTTGTCCATCATGTTCTTTATCATCCTTATAGAAAGATTGAGAAGGTCAATTCTGTACTGGATGTACTGAGCTGTTTACTGTTAATAACATTCAGTGTATCTGTTAGTGTGTAGTTCATCTGTGAGTAACAGAGATCCAAAGTAACAAGTGGTTTGAATGATAGAGAAGTTTGTCTGGCATGTATGAGTCTGGAGGTGGCACCCAAGCCTGGTTCAGCTCTGTGGTGGTCTCAGTGAACCCAGATTTCGATCTTAGTGCTCTGCCCTGGAAAACCTTCATCTGCAAAATGATGCTAGCCATCATGCCCATGCCTTCCAGCCCAAAGGGGAAAGGGCATGATCCTGCCAACTTCAGGGTTCCCCAGAACTGCGGCAGGATACCTCTGCCTACAACTCATCAGCCAGAACTCAGCCACGTGGCCGTCCTCAGCTGCAGTGCAGTCTTCACTCTGCGCGGCCGAGTCCCTAGCCGAAAAATGAGGCTTCTGTTAATGTGGAAAACAGACACTGGGGAAAACAGGCTGCTGGCATCCTCGCCACTCGGGCTCTCTGCAGCTTCCTGCTGCTCCACGTTCGGCTGTGCTGGTGCAGGGCGACACTCAGGTGGCTCTTCCTCTGCGCACGTTTAATAACGCAGCCATAACGTTTTAACACGTGGAAGAGTATTCCCGACAGGGTTAGGACCCGAGCCCTGTGCTCTGTTCGTGTTTCCCTGGTGAGCATCTTTCATCGTTAGGTGAATTTTATGTATCTAGTATGTTCACTGTGGCGGAGGAATCGGAAGCGTATTATTTGATTTGGGCAGGTGAGTTCAAATCGAGTATTCCCATGCGGGTAAGTTACAGACTGAAGGAGTCACATCTGCCTGGAGAGTTGGCTTGAAGGCTGACTCGGTGTGAGACGAGGGTCGGATGGAGGTGTGTGGGGAACGGCTGCCCAGCAGACCGCCCCGTGCAGTCTTCCCTCGTGCCGTGTTTAAGCGTTTCGATTCCTGCGCCGGCCACCGCGCGGAGACGGGCTTGATCTGTCGCAGCTTGAAGGCCTATGTTCCATCTTCTCCTTTTCAGGAGATGAACGGGGTGCTGAAAGGCATGCTCTCGGAGTGGTTTTCCTCAGGGTTCCTGAACCTGGAACGCGTCACCTGGCATTCCTCGTGTGAGGTGCTGCAGAGAGTCAGTGAGTAAGTAGCAAGGGTTTTCTTTTCTTTGTATATATCTATAATGCATATGTATTTACGTGTTTTCGTATGTGCTGAAAGCCAGTCTCTGTTCACGTGAACATTGCACTCCAAGCCCAGTAGAATCCCAACGCAGTACCCACGAGCGCTGTGGCTGTCGTGGCACAGGATACCCAGAGGAGGAGGAAAGAGCTCGAACAGAACCTGCTCCGTCTGCGGGGTCTTATTTGTTTCTCGTATTTGAAGCAAGCAGCCTCGCGCTAAGGCTTCCCGAGACCCCATTGTCAGGGTCGTGTAACTCACCAGACCAAGCGTTTGCACCAGTAAGCAAAACAGCAGTTAGTCACCTAGTTCCTAAAAGTCCTCCCTCGGATAAAGTCTCCCCATGAGCGATATCGTGCGTCATTACAGTACACCCGGGACACAGCCCGCACGACCTGGAGACTTCTTTCTACCTAAGGGCCTCACGTTCCGTGCCGTCCTGTGGATTCTAAGGTTTGAAAAACGTCCCATGTGAAGTGTAACAGATCCAAAGGGCTGATAGCGCCTGCTGCCACTTCGCACGCTGAAAACAAAACCGCGTTTGGATGAGGTGCCTAGACAAAAGGAACCCAGGGATGAACACGGCGACGTTTGCAGCGCTGACAGCTGCTCCCAAACTACAAAGATCCAAAGGAAAGAAAAGACGCGGAACGTTCGGCGGAGAAGCCTTTGATTAGATCTTTGTGACTCTCTGCCGCCACATGAACGCTTCCCGGGGGGCCTCGCAAACCGCTCTCAGAATCGGTATTATGAATCAGAGCGCAATTTCGTATGTAAAATCGTGGTTCTCGCAGCCAGGGCCGTCTCTCATTGAAATGATTTTCTTTAAATTTCCCAATTAATTTCCCAATTAATTGAGAAAATTTTAATTTTCTCAATTAAAGCTGTATTTAAATAATTTATTTCACTAAAGTGAATAACATGGATAGGAGTCAGCACTCGTGATCTAACTTGTGAGTCACACACGTCCTCTCCCCGTGTGCCGTCACGCCAGGTCCGAGGCCGTGCACCCCGTCAAGAGCTGGATGGACTTGAAGCGCCGCGTCGGGCCTTACCGGAGGTGCTACTTCTTCTCCCACTGCTCCACCCCGGGGGAGCCCCTGATCGTCCTGCACGTGGCGCTGACCGGCGACATCACCAGCAACATCCAGGTACCTGCAGGCAACACAGGCATCCCGCGACGCCCCTTAAGCTGCTTTATTTTAAACTTGATTTTGTCCGCTTTTTTTAAAAAAAAATGAATTGCGTTAGAATGTTTTGGACTTTTCAGTTGAGTAGGTAAAGTCTCCTGACCTGCAGTCATAGAAGGTAGACGTGCAGCCTGTAGGCGGTGCGGGAACAAGGAGAGTACTCATCTGGCGGTGCTGAGCATGAGCTGAGACACGGTTGAAGTCTGTAGGGGCAGAAAGTGGCTGTGAGGGAAGAAGATAGAAGGATGCACACAGTTCAGCTTTTCCACACTTGTTAAGTGCCTGCGAGGAGTTCCAAAGATATGTGATTGAAAAATTGAATGACATATTCCGCCCCCTACACCTGATGTTCCGCCCCCTATTCCCAGGGTGCAGCCTGGGAGTGGAGGTCGTGTTGGATGGTCCCTTCCGTGGCGAGCTGACCGCCTCCTGTGGGGGCTGGCGAGGATGTCTGGGCCGTCGTGCAGGCCCCTGGGGGCAGGAGAGCCAGGGCCACATCGCAGGGTCTGGCCACAGGAGAGCAGGGCTGGCGCAGGGAGAGACAGGTAGCACAGGGAGCTTGAGACCCCCGGTCACAGTGGGTGTGCGCAGAGCAAGAGGACGCAGCCAGAGCTCTGGGGTCAGAGTCGCCAGTTCAGAATCCAGATGGACAAAAACACGTTTTAAGATGAGTGCCCGGGCAGAGGTTCCTAGTCAGAGAAGTTAGAGAGATTGAGGAGGGCAAATGGGCAGATGTTCTTGATCACCAGGGAGAAATTAATTCCCTTACGATTTTTGTGTTTGGAGGAGTCGCACTCTCACAGGCCGTCGGTAGAACTAGAAGTCATTACAGCCCCTCCGAGGGCTGTTTGGCAACGTGTATTAAATGCATGCATGCCGAGTATGCGTTCCTTTCCCCCTGGAAATTCCACTCTTCGGGACTTACCCCGGGGAGATACTCAGACCTGGGTGCAGGCCGCTGCTCATACAGCGTCCTCTGCGGATTTTAAAGCCCGGAGACGATAACGCGCTGTCCTTTGCGTGCATTTAAATATCGATATAGGTTTATATTTTTTGCATGGAAAGCCAACCTGGCCTTACTGCTGAGTAGAAATTCAGGTTACAGAATAGCATGTGTACTGTGGTCATAATTATTTATAACAATTATGTTAATATTAATAACATCTATTGAGTACATGCTGTGTGCCCATCCTGTCTGCGGAGCACGTCTCATGTGCTGCTGCTCGGAGCAGGCTGTGACTTAGGTGTTACTGTCATTGGCCGCAGTTTAGACACGGGAAACTACGATTGAGGGGTGTCAGTAGCTTGCCCGCCGTCATGGAGCGAGTGAGGGCGGAAGCAGGACTCAGACCCAGCCCATGTGCCGCCCCCGGGGGAAGGTGCCTTCTGGCTGTGTAGGATTGAGCATGTGCATTTGGGCACTTGAGCACACGTGTGTGCACCACTACATGTAGAGGTATGTTTAAGCATGTACACACCCACAGCCAGAGACGGCCCGGAAAGATGTCCACGAGAAGGTCGACAGCAGGCGTGAGTGTTAGATTCTGGAGTAACTTGTGCTCTCTTCTTACACATTTATTTTGTGCCTCTGTGACGTTATACATACCTTGTTTGAGTAACTGGAGACAGACTCGTTTTTATTTTGAAAGCTTTGAAAAAAGATTGCTGGGAATTTTTGCATAAGGATCCGCAAGATGTCTTTGTTGGAAAGCAAAGGGGGTGACCTGACACGTGAAGGTGAGGAGCAGTGTGAAGCGGGCCCTGCTCTGTGGGCCCCGGCGCTTCTCCGTCAGACAGCGCAGGACGAGGCCCGGCACGGCCGCAGAGGGTCCCCCCTGCCTCGTGAGCCTCCCCGCTTTCCTGGCAGCAGCGGTTATCACGGACCCTGTTGAGAACCTGAAGGAGCTGAAAGCTGAGGGCGTTTTCCCCCGGGCAGATAGGCACATGTTCCGTACAACCGCAGAAAGTTTGTGGACCTCTAGACCCCATCCAGGGCTCTGGGCTAAACACTCCTGCTTCAAGAATCAAACGTAGCTGGTAGAAGCGAACGCTGAGGCTTGGTTAAGGGGCTCTAATGTGTTCTTCAACAGCAAGCTGGTGTGCCTGCCTTGAAGCAAACCCAAAGGTGACGACCTGCTATTCCACCATTCTCAAGTGAGCTTCAGAGTACTAGGGATCAAAAACCCATCCAATCGAATATGACAGTAAGGCAGGGCGCGGTGGCTCATGCCTGTCATCCTAGCTCTCTGGGAGGCTGAGGCAGGCGGATTGCTCGAGGCCAGGAGTTCGAAACCAGCTTGAGCAAGAGGGAGTAGTCTCTACTATAAATAGAAACAAATTAATTGGCCAACTAATATATATAGAAAAAATTAGCCGGGCATGGTGGCGCATGCCTGTAGTCCCAGCTACTCGGGAGGCTGAGGCAGGAGAATTGCTTGAGCCCAGGAGTTTGAGGTTGCTGTGAGCTAGGCTGACGCCACGGCATTCACTCTAGCCTGGACAACACAGTGAGACTCTGTCTCAAAAAAAAAAAGACAGTCAAATCAGACTTCAGCTACTTTCCAGTGTAAGTCCTTTCTTACAGATTGCCTGTGTGTCTGTGCTGATGTATGTTGTCACATAGGAAAAACAAAGATGTTGGCACAAAATCAAAAAAAGTATGTAATAAAGTCATAAAAGGTAAATCTCCTAAAAGGAAATTTATATAGGACTGCATATGGCCTGTTGAGAAATTTGAAAAACTAGGGTTCAGAGAAAAGGAGCAAAAACAACTGAAGGGGAAAAAGCAGGCCTTTAAAGAAAAGCTGAAGAAACTGGCGCTATTTGGCCTCAACACGGGGTCACTGTATGATCTCTTGGTATCGCAGGGCAGTTCACGGAGCAAGTTTCTGTTTGCACCAAGGCCTAAAAAAAGACAAAAAGGGACATAAATTGCTCTTCAGCAAGGTTTGCGCTAGAATTTCAAAATGGTAGAGGTGACACAGCGCTGAGCAGACAACCTGGGGAGGTCGTGTGGTCGCCTCCTCCAGAGAGTTTCAAAAACAGAACAGTTTGGTCTTTGAATCCCCTGAGAATTGTCTTATGGCCCAGGCGGAAGGGCTGTGACGTGAGCTGGCGAGCTCGAGCCCCCTCTCAGAGCCCCCGTTCGTGCCTTGCAGGCGATAGTGAAGGAGTGCCCTCCGTCGGAGACCGAGGAGAAGAACAGAATCGCCGCCGCCATCTTTTATTCCATCAGCCTGGCCCAGCCAGGACTGCAGGGGGTGGAGCTGGGAACGTTCCTTGTGAAGCGAGTTATCAAGGAGCTGCAGGTAAGCCCGCGGAGCAGGACGCGCCTGGCAGCCGGGCCCTGCCTCGCCAACTGTGGCCGGGCCCCGTCCTCGAACCTCGTGGGGGGTCAGGTGTGATGAGTGGTGGCAAGGCCTTCCACGGCTCTCTAGGCTCACGGGCGAAGACAGGAACTAAAGGGACAGGGAGGAAGTGGAAAAGTGCCGGATGCCCCTCGGCAAGTCCCAGGAGCCACGAGACTCCCAAGAGAGACGAGAATGATGCTGAGAAGAAGCATCTAGAATCCAGCTTCTCGGTTGCCTGCGAAATGTCCCCTGAGGACGTGCGCTCTCTCTAGGGTGACCTCGTCTGGCTTGCCAGGACGTGCCCTGTCTCGTGTGTCGTCCTTGCGTCCCCAGCTGGCATGATGCAGTCGTGGCCATCCTAGCCACGCCTGGCCTCCTCCCCTCCTTGCCCACACCCCCCAGGGTCTCCGAGGGAGCGCCCAGGTTAGACCAGGCGGCTCGAAGGCAAGTGCATTGGCTTATCTTGACCCAGCTCCCTTCTCTTTGCTGTTCTGCAAGAAGCCTCCGCCATCCTGCAGCAGCAACGCAGAGGTTCGCTCTGGGCCTAGGCTTGGAAAAGCTGTCTCTCGTCAGAGGCTTGGACGAACCACAAAGAGTAGAATCTAATTATTAAGTAAAAACCTGGATTGCTAGTAATTGGCTCAGAACGTGCTGCTCCCTGCGCTAGGTGCCGCAGACGGTGCGGCCGCGGCTCCTCCTCAGAGACGAGAGTGGGGTTAAAATGTTTGCATGTTTTGTATTAGATTCGTCATCAGATTTAAATCTGAGAGCGCAGGGTTCAGCTGGGTGTCAGCTTCATTATCACTCTCCACTGGTTCTCCCCAGAGGGGATCAGAAGCCACGTCTAATTAACAGAAGCTTCGCATTTCCTCTTTGCTGAAGGTGTTAATGAGCAGGGCGGGGAGGGGGCGGATCAGGTAAGAAAGGCAACGAGAGGAGGCAGGATCCTAGGGTCTGGGTAAACGCACCCACGGATGTTTCTGAACCAGGGTGGCACCTTAACCCACCCGCCGTGCTGACCGTGTCACTTGCCTGGCACCCGGCCGTGAGCTGGAAAGTCATCAAAGAATCTGGAAGGAAGCTGTGTCGCCCTCTCTGCTCGGAAGTGTCCCCTGGGATGTATAAAAGCAAAAACTGGAGAGCCACCTTAAATGTCCCGTGAGAAGAATCTGGCTAGGCAAATCAGAGTATAGTCTTTTAATCTCTTAATATTACTCTGTTGTTAAAATTATAGTTTTGCATTTTCGATGACAACAAAATGCTCATGATATAAACCTATAATGCATGATACAAAATAAGTGTCTGGCCCACGTAAAAATTGCATAGAGAAGCCAGAGGAATTGTACGTTCTCAAGCTATTGAGAGTGGTCTACTCAAGAGTAGTGGAGTATGATGGATTTCTTTTCTTTTGTCCTATATTTTTAAAAATTTTTTCTATAGTGAGCATGTATTCCATTTATAAATAGGAAATACTGAATTTTTTGGAATGATCAATTAGCCGGGCATGGTGGCGCATGCCTGTAGTCCCAGCTACTCGGGAGGCTGAGGCAGAAGGATCACTCAAGCCCAGGAGTTTGAGGTTGCTGTGAGCTAGGCTGACGCCACGGCACTCACTCTAGCCTGGACAACAAAGTGAGACTCTGTCTCAAAAAAAAAAAAATAAATAAATAAACTCATAATGCATGATACAAAATAAGTGTCTGGCCCACGTAAAAATTGCATAGAGAAGCCAGAGGAATTGTACGTTCTCAAGCTATTGAGAGTGGTCTGCTCAAGAGTAGTGGAGTGTGATGGATTTCTTTTGTCCTATATTTTTAAAAAATTTTTCTATAGTGAGCATGTATTACATTTATAAACAGGAAATACTGAATTTTTTGGAATGATCATGGAGATCTCTATATAGTTGAGCAGTAATTATATGATTGCTCTATTGAGCAATAATGGCTGAACCGAGTCGTGTGATGTGGGAAAATGCCCGCAGCCAGGGGAGGCAGGAGGGGTCTGGGCAGCTTCCCCGCAGGCGGCCTGGGTCTGCCCGGCCCAGCCTGGACTTCCAGAGGGGTCTCTGCTGGGGTCCCAGGAAGCAGAGGTGCATGCGTGAGTGTGCAGAGGTGAGTGGTGAGTGTGCGTGCACCAGTGTGCTTGGAGTACTAGTGCTCCTCCTGCCTGCCTACTCAGCCTCCCTGTCCGGACCAGTACGGAAGCCAGGAAGTCGGAACAGA